TAAATTGCTTTCACACTTAGACTACGTATATACCAGAGCATGTGTGTTAAAAGTAGTTACATAATAGTTTAAGGTAAATAGTTTAGCCTGTGTAGTAATTGTTATATTAGTTATATTATATATATACTATATATATTAGTAATTGTTATATTAGCATTCCCCCTCCTTCAAGAGCTAGTGTAAGCATCTTTGAAAGTTCATTTAACATTAAAGTTTTAGCTGTGAGTTTGCAAATATGATGTCATTTACATGGAACAAACTGCTTATGGTAATAGTGCTGTGTATAGTCCCGACCAACTGTCTGGTAACTAACATCCAAAAGTGACAGAACATATGAGTCACTCTGGCAGATTTGACAGGCCATAAATCAATGTATTTGAGCCTAGCCACACCTGGAGATCCTTTTTGCACCTGTCTCGTAGGAGCCTCTGAATGATATCCTCAAGCATTTAAAGGTTTAGTTAGTAATGAGACTCGACTGAATCGATTGGCAATGTTGCAAGAGTGCAGTCGCACTGTTGGCTTTACATTAAGACAACTTGAAGCCTTCTGGCAAGCAAAAATTATCAAAGTTCTTAATATCACTATAGGGTGATATAGGACCCTATTATCTTGGGAAACTTACTTTGTTCCATCCAAGCTTACATCAATTGCTGAATGTGGCTGATAAAAAACATCAAACAGTCAAAGTGAAGCCTGAATGAATTAAAGCTTAGCAACTCTAAAAAGGCTCGCTTGTTAGACTAAGAAAGAATTGAACTTAACATCCACAATGTTAAGTGAACTTTCAGCCGATGTGAGTAGCATACATTATGCAGTATTACAAAATTGAGCTGCAATTAACTTTTTGCTCTTAGCAGAAGGACATGGTTGTGAGGAGTTTGAAGGCATGTGCTGCTTGATCTTACTGATCATTCAGTTTCCATCCCTAAGCAACTACAACAGCTACAGGATGGGTTACATGCCCTGAAAGAAGATAGTGATCCTATTAGAAGTTGGTTTGCCAACTGGGGCATCACTGGATGGCTGAGGTCTCTTGTGCTGGAAGGAAGATGGACTTTACTTATAGTGTTAATTGAGATGACAGTTTAAGTTGTATGTATGTTTGTACGTACTTCATAAAAGTATAGAATGAGTCACATCCGAAGCCTGGTTTGTGCAAAAAGAGAAAGGGGGAATTGTTGTTATATTTTATATATTAGTAAAGGCCTGTCTGCACAAACCAGCCTTTGGAATAAGTTGTGATATTAAAGGTTAAAGTCCTTGAAACTTTCCTGCAGAAGAGAGAGTAAAGCAAAACAATATCCTTGTGTATAGGAGAAAAAATGTAAACCTGTGTGTTAACCAATAGTAACTTGCTTAGCCCGTGGACCCTGTAGAACCCTATAAAAGGTGTGCTAGAGACAGAAATAAACGGCATTCACGTTTACTTCTGTGAAGGGTTGTGAATAGCTGGCGGTCTCTCAATATGTGTATCTGTGTTTAAGGTGTCTTTGAGAAAAAAATCCTGTGAGAAACAGGGCTCACTGTTTAATATTTTTTTTTTAAGTTTAATAAAGGTAAAAAGAAACAATATCCAGTGCTGGGGTGCCTGGAAAACTGCCAGAAGTAGCCTGTTAACTTAAAACAATTTTCATGTATACTATTCATTACATTGGCTAAATGCATATTAATGAGGGTTATACATATTCAAACATTCCTGTGGGTTTACATATTCTGTGAATTCTTTTGCTTGGTTTTGACCTTTGACTTTTCTACATATCATCCTGTAGATTAAATCAATATATTTAATTTCTTCTCAAGACTCCATTCTGTTGTTTTCACGCTTCCTGATAACTGGAGAGTTAGTAGTAAATTTTTCTCTTGGTGTCCTGGTTCTTGTCACTATTATCATTCAGATGAGATAGTCCACAAATACATTGAACCACTATAGCTATTTCACACCATTATGTGAGTTAGTTACACAAATTAAAGTATTTAACAGCATACAGTCTCTATTTTAATACTATGTGCAGGTCTAAGCTATAATATATTTATCACACTACTATTTATATAAGCTATAGGGTGCATACAAAAGCTGACAGATTATACTATATCAAAAAACAGTTAAAAGGGATTACAAATTGTACTATATCAGAATCTTTGTCATCAATAATAACTTGCAAAAGCCAATACATAAATATGAAAGCAAAAACTATATTGCCATTTATAACGAATCCCAGTTTAATCAGGCTGAGGAGTATCAGGGAGTAAGAAAGTGAAATAGACTGGTGGAGTCACACTCTTCAAAGCTCAGCAAGAGTTGTGTGAGCCCTGATCCTCTCGCCATCAGGCAGAAGGAGGGGATCTAAAACATGAGGGGGAATGGAAAAAGGTCCCTGCTCATGGAGGTAGGAGAATCCCCTCCCAGCCTCTCTTACCTTCCCAGGTACCCTTAAACTGCAGGTATGAGGCTCTGAACATGAGGGTCAGGCAGACGATATTGGAGAAGAAGGTCTGACTGGGGGTTTATCTGGAATAGGTCAGTCAGCCAGATGGATCACAAGAAATAATAAACGGTAGTTGTATTGGGCTACTCCCTTCTGAGGGGAACTGGGGGCCATGTATGCCATCTGACAGGGAATTCTGCTGCCTCCCTTGGGTGTGGGTAAGGGGTTTACCAGGAGACTCCCTGGAATGATTCAGCCCTCTGATTATTTCCCACTGCTTGTTGTCGAGGTTGGCAGTGACAAGGCTGACGAGTGAATGCAACCAAATCCTAGCAGAATCAAAAAGAACTTCAGACCATTGGGGTGACTGGTTGAAGGAGTAGGAGCACAGGTGATGTTTTCCTCAAGCCCTTTAGTAGCAAGGAAGAATGCCAAAAGGAACAGGAGAATCTGCATGATCAATGTGTGGCTTAGAGACTGGTGCCATTGGTGGAATTTGGAGTTTTTTCGATCATGGAGTGATTTATATAGCATCAGACCTGATGGAGAGAGATGGGGTTCACCTGTTTAAAAGGAGAAAAAGGATGATGTTCTTGAGTTGGCAGGGCTGATTGAGAGGGATAGCTTTGAAGGGGAAAGGCAATAAAACCAGCATGGGAGAGATGTGCCCTGGGTGGGGGCAAGAAAGTATTGGGGTTAAAATTGATAGCCCACCCCAATGATTTTGTAGTGAGCAACACTGGAATGCACTTGCAGTCTTATGGGGACAAGCTGAGGACTCCTAAGGTCCTGACAAAAAGCTGACATGGAAAACACCAGAAAATTATATCAAAGGAAGAAGAGGGGTGTTCCTTTGGGAAGGTGAAGTGGCTGACAGGCAATCTGAGGTGCCTTTATATCAACGCATACAACATGGGCAACAAACAGGAGGACCTGGAAACCACTGTGCTGCTAGAAAATTATGACCTTGTTGCATTACTGAAACTTGGTGGATTGAATCCCATGACTGGAGTATCACTACTGATAGCTACAGCCTGTTCAGAAGATACAGGAGAAGAAGGAGATGGAGAGATTGCCCTCTACACCAAGAAATTGATTCAATGTGAGCTGTCTTTGAAGAACAGCCATGAGCAAGTCAAAAGCCTGTAGGTAAGAATCTGATCAATACAGCAAAGGATCCATGTAGTTGGTATCTACTACAGGCTGCCTGATGAAGGGGATCCTTTTAACAAAGGCTTCTTTCTAAAGCTACAGGAAACATTGTGCTCACAGGCTTTTGTCCTGCTGGAGGCTTTCAACCAGTGTCCAGTGGAGATCCTTTCTTGACAGATGACTGAAACAGAGTTTCATGAACTTTTCAGTTAAGGTGTGTCATATGCAAACCAATGTCACTTTTGGAATCACTAGAAATTAATGCCAGCTGTAGATATGACAAGATCACAAGTCGCTCAAAATTTTGAAAGACAGCAGACTGTCTTCAGCAAGATTTAGGATCAGAGGCAAAAAGCCCCATCTCTTTTCTGATTAATTTTGTGGCCACGATTCCATTTCTTTTGACCCTTAAAATGAATAGTCTTAGGCTGTAGTTTGTCATCATTTGGTCAGCTCATGAGGTTTTCTTCTTTTTAAAACTGTATTTTCTCAAGGCAGAGAAACCTACCATTCTGCAACTATCTACCTTTGAGTAGAGGAGAATATTCAAAGTGCTCAAAGTCAGGATGAAAGATTATTCATACCAGCAAGGAAAAGGTGGGTATTGAAAGAGACTGCTGAAGGAGAGGTAAAATCTTAAATGATAAAACTGAAGACAGAATACCACTAAGTGAAATAAAGGATTTGTCTATTTGCATTTAAATTGATACAAAGCAACAAAAGGTAAATTATTATAACTACTTTAAATCTAGTAAAAAATGTGCTGCTGTGTGCATTAAGACAATGCTGGAAGTTTACAAGTTAGAACTGCTTTAAAATACTTCTTTCTAGGGATAGCATAACATTGCATCAGGCAATTTGCTTTTCCTACTCTTCTTGAAAGATGTGCATCTCAACAAGATATGGCATATGAGTTCTTAAATTAGACCAATAATGACATACACACAAACAAGCAAAACATTCTCTCTTCCTTCTCCTCCCTTTCTTTCTGCTTTCTTGTCATACAGTATATGACTAAGGAGAAACTGAAAGAATCCATGAGTGACAGAGCTTACTCCTGCATCAATATGCTCCTTCCTGATGGAGTGATCAAAGGACAACGGTAGTGGACAAAATAGGGCTTTACCCCTTGAAGTATTCTCTATTCTATCCTGTTGAGATCGGCACAAATATAAGGAATTAAACTGACTTCCTATGGCTGCCATCCAAGTTGAGAAACTATAACTCAGTACCACCTGCAATTTGTAATGGTCCTCTCTATTTCCATCCCTTAAACTCCATTTCTGTCAGCTTTTCAGTGTTCAAAAATGGACTAGTTAATATAGCAGTGAGGAAAAAAAAGAACAAAATAAAATATTTTATTGTGTAAGTAGATTTGAAAGGAAATTACTAAAAGGTAAGTATACATGGACCCTCGCGCACAGCTCTCTTTTTACAGTTGCACTTAAGGACTGTACTTCAAATATGGTTATACAGATATTTTCCCCACACACACTGACTGCCCCTTAATCTTAAAACTTAATCTGCCACAAAATTACATTAAACAGACTGAGAAAATACTTGAGAGTGACTGTTTACAAAGAAAGTAATTTATAGCATACAATTACTAATAATAATAATTACAATTACTACTAATAATAATTAAGTATACAATTACTAATAATAAGGTAGAATAAGAGTTCAAAAACTGGACTGAATTACAAAACATTTCTTCAAACATCCATTTCTGATTATTGCTGTAAGGTACCAATTGGTGTGTTCCAGACTAATTTACAGACATTCATAAAACAGTGAAAAACGCATGCTTTAGAAACCTGGGACATTTCATGCCTTTGTGCTAACAGAACATGAGGATGGAAATGACTGGCATTTTTCAATGCAGATTAGTAGAATTTAGTGTTTGTTTTCTTGTATACTAACTGATTTTTCATATTTTTTCTCATTTTTTTCAGGTGATCTTTTATCTTCAGGTTTAGTCCATGGAGGGCTGTGCAGCTTCTGCAGAGGTGAAAACATCATCAGTGTAAACATGGTGTATATGATACACATAAGCAAAAATAAAAAAACATGCTAAAAATCCATGGCAATAGTGCACATAGAGCTGTATTTTTATTAAACGGATGTGCCAATCACAAACTATTGCAGCAGAATATGGTATTTGCCAACTGTGCCTAGAAAGGGGTCCTGATCTCTACTAAAGGAAGCATATTTAACAACTTTCATAGTGCAAAACCATACAAGTCTGATTCTGCACGCAGCTTCATATAATTGCATATAATTGCATATGAGATATATATATATACATATCTATATATATATATATAGATATGTATATATATATAATTATTTTGGAAATCTTTCCATGCTCCTGCTTCCAGAGCTATAGACATCACACTATCAAATTAAGTGATTTGACTACTAAGTCACTTGTCTACTAGTTCTTTAAATATTTAGTAGTTTGCAAATTGTTACCAGCCAGAAAACATTTTGAATAGATGAAGTGCAACCAGATGCAGTCATAGTCTGAAATAAGTAGTCTTCTCTTTTGAGACAGAACTTGGTGAAGAATATATAAGTATACTTCAAGTAATTGCATTTCACAAAACCTTTCAGTAAAACCCCAACAATTACTCTGAAAGAGAATACCTGAAAGCTTGTCTCTGTTTCTGCTGCTTTCAAACGAGATGTTGAATCATTATGATTCCCCAAACATGTCTTGGCAACCTGTCAATACAAATATCAGAGATAAGGACATCGTATTTTTTCCTAAAATATTCAGTTTTCTAAACAAAACAAAAAAAAAAAAGAAAAATTCACTGGGTCTTCTTTTAAGCCTAGTTCATGAAATGGAACAAAGTTTTTGTAGCTAAGCTTATCGCAGACTCCCATGATCCCTGTAATAGTCTTCAACAATATAGTCTTGTAGTGGCAAGCTTAACAACTTAATACTTATCCAGCTTTTTTCTTCATGTTTAAATCTCATTACCAATAGTGAAGTTTACTCCTACAAGTGGTCCTAGGGAACAGAAAAATCATTACAAGTGTCTTTTATGGGTAAGGAAATATTAACAAACAGTTGAAAGTCAGCCTTACAGTTAGAACTTCTCTATTACTATTGTCTTGTCTAAACTCTAGATCTCTTAGGTATAATAATCCCTGAATGGGAACATAAAGTCACTGAAAGGGGAAGTCAGATGACTCTCAAGGTGCAAAATCTTGTTACATTAGTTGCTGTCGTTTTATTCAAGGAATAATGATATATTCTTTGTCAATATGCTTTTTAATATCTGGGAAAACAAAGTTGCACAGCATAAATAAAATTAAAAAGTACATTTTTAACCAAGGATATCTCCAGATATGAAACCAGATATTTACACAACACTGAAAATTCTACTGTACTTAAATCAAAGTCCCTTTTGGACCAGGATTAGTGATACCACAGGAAAAGGAGTTGAAACATGAAATACAGTAAAATAGTCATAATATTTGGTCATTAATCTGAGTCCACGTTGAAATTTATCTAATTGTTTTCCTATTAAAACTGATACATTTAAATGGAGTGAAAATGACAGGGCTTTTTAAAAGTTTTAAGTCATCAAAGATGCTTTCCAGTGTAAAAGTGGGGGGGTTTAGCAATGTTTAAGGTATTGAAGTTGAGCCTATGAGAAGATGCAAATAGATTTCATGTGGGGAACTCTTTTTCATATTTTCCCACTCTAGACAATGGAAAATAAAAGTTGCATTAGTATAGGGAATAATCAAGGCAATATTGATTAAAATAAATTCTATTCCTAAAGCATCTACTCCTTTCATGACAAAAAAATCAAACAAAATATCAAACAAATGTGTGGTTTGTCTTAGATGAAGACTAGAAAGTCAGATGAGAGAATAGCAATTTTTAGTGGACTTTTAGTACTTCAAAACCTTATAAGTGTAGTCTTGCCAAAACTTCCATTTAAATTATTTACTATTAATCTAGACTTTAAAAAAATATTTGAAGATTAATCATGTTCAGAAAAAATGAGGGTTTGGGTGACTTCTAGATTTGCAGCTTGAGGACAAAAGATACTATAGGTCAAACAATGAACAGTATTCCAAACTGTATCATGAAGAGGACAGAAATAATGTGAATTAAATATAAGATAATTTATACATCCAGAATTTGCTCTGACTGTACATACTGGAATGTGAAATCAGGTAACATATTTCACCAGCATAATTTATAGGAGATAGGAAGCAAAAACTATTAATTGACATTAATAAAGCTATAGGTCAACTGCTTAAGACATACGTAAAGGAAGAAAAAAAATAACCAGATCTGCCTTAGAGAAAATAAAAGCAAATTATAAAGCCAATGCTTTATGAGTGAGTAGTCTTGCATACTCTTTTCATAGAACAGACAACAAAGTCTATCTTAATAGGAAAAGACCAATAAAGACTTAAGTCTGATGTATTTCATATTTGTTCACTCAAGAGTTCTTTTCTTTTTAGTAGCACACCATATGGATCACTGTTAGAGAGAGATAGTAGGGACTTTTTCTAAAGAATGTCTTTATGTTGTTAAAGTATAACATTCATTATTGATTCCTTGTCACTGTGAAACATTGTATATAATTTCCAAATAAATTACATATTGAACAACAGCAATGACTTTCAATATGCCATCAGTCAACAACAGTTCAATAGCCAGGATTGTAACCAGCTCCTATTGATGAGGTGTACACACACACACACACACACACACACATATACACACATACACACATACACACACATACACACACACATATATATGTGTGTGTATATGTATACATACGTATATATTTATATATATATATATATTTATACATATATACACACACACATATACAGTGGTTGTGGCTTTTTATCAGTTTGTTTCCTAAACTGAGTCAGATGAGTATTAACATAACCTACTGTATCTGTAAACTGGGTTTAACAGAAACCAAACTGAATCCCATCCACATATGATCACAGACATATGTATAAACACATGCATACACACACACACCCCCACACACACCTCTGTGTGTATTTATATGCTTATATATATATATACATATATATGCATATATAAATGCATAAATATACAAATACACACAGTACATCTATGTTTGTGTCCCTCAGCTAAAGACCAGTGGAGAAATTTAAACCAAATATACTACAATACCTTTTACAACCTTAGGTGACAGACAAAGAAAGTAAAATATTAAACTTTTGTTATAGTTGCTAGTTTCCTCTAAGCCAAGTAGTGAATTGTTTTGTACGTTTATCTATGTGACTTTCTTTCTGTCAGATTCCCTCCTGTGAGAGGAACACTCATTACAAAAGGACAGAATGACAGCTTGACACGGTAGAAATGATCAAAAAGCAAAAATAATTGCTTTTGGAAAGTAAAGGTGTTGAAATGTTGTTAGGGTGGCTTTTTATCTCATGGAAATGAGATTTTAGAAGTACATACTTGGATCATGCCAAACTTTGAATCAAGGTTTCAATATCTGAGGGTCATGTCCAGGAGGAACTCTTTGTTCCCTCACAAGAGCAGGCATTCCAGTACCTTGCACTGTGATTACTAAACAGTAAATAATGCCCCTCAACATATGCTTGAACAAAGAGACACACAACAGGGCAAACAGCAGCTTTCTCAATTTGTATCAGAGAAAGATAAATTGCTTTTCTTCCAAAGAGTGAATTTTTTTTGAAAGATTATTACTCAAATGTTAATAAAATGCTAACAAAAGAGTAAAAGCATCTTTGAAGAAGCTATTTAGAATGTAAAAAATCCCACCTAATCTCAAGTCAGTCCTGTTAGCTAAATACAACTCAATTGAATCCTCTTGTACCATCATAACAAGGCAGGTTGTAATTTAAAATATTGCCAGGAGTACTTCAAGGATGTTCTAGTTTTCATACCAAGTGTAACATAACACTTCACAATATGGATTATTTCCCCCACTATTGGGAAGAAAATTTTAAGAGTTCTGCTTGCACATAATCTCTATTATTCATAGGTAAGTTTTAAATCTGTGCTGGCTTCAAGCAAGGGCAGGAAAGAGGCACTACCTTTCACCATCTGAAGACTTTGAACAAAACACATTTATCTCTGGAAGCAATGCAGGTGTAATGAGTTTGGAATAAATATGAAATGATTTTTTGCTTGTCCCTCTCCTTGGTGCTTCCAGAGAAGTTTAAGCAGGCTTTTAAGCTACATACTAAAATTTTTTTAGGAAGAAAAATCTCCAACACCAACAGCTAATGTATAGCCAGGTGATGACCCTTTGAACATTAGCTAATATCTTTTCAGAAATACAGAAAGGCAGTATGTGAACGTGAGGTCAAGACAGTAATAATGTTGCTATTTTCTTGTTTGTGTCTGAAGTAACAGGTAGATAAGGAGTGCAGATCAAAAGGGAGAAAATACAGCATAGGTGGGCAAGACTAAATACCACCAAAAGGAGGGCAAGACCTGATATAAAGTAAGAAGACAATTCAAAACATCATGCTTTGATCTAGCTGAAAAATACTGGATGACTAAAATACCACAACAATTTAAAAAGTTTAAGTTATTGTTAGCATGGCAAAATGCTGAATTCTCATGAACTTTGCATACAAGATTATTAAAAAATACTCTTCTGCATTTGTGAAACTGACAGCACAACAAAAGAAAAAATCCAACAATATTCTCAAATTCTAACTTAATTGCAGAAGTTTACTTCCTGCCATTTGCATTTAGAACTAAATGGGTTTTTCTTCCTAACTATTTTCTGTGTTTTCTTCTGCATCCCTTTCTAATGAGCATGAGGTTGGCAGTTTCAAAGGGAGCAGGGATGGCAGAAGTCCTGATCTCATGGAGAAGCACAGTTCCTAACATTTTGGAGACTCAGTTAGTTCATTGGTCAAAAAGTTCACCAAGTTGGAAGGGGCATTTAGAATATTTCATTGCTTTCCTCATTCCAAGGTAAGCTTAATATTTCTCAAAGCTTTAGCTGAAACTGTCCCATTTATAGGTTCATCAGAGATGAAGAGTGATTCTGCTAGAGATATTTTCTTAATAAAGACTTATTGATCAGTTATATTTTATCCTTATTTCATCTGCATGTGCCCACACAAGCAATCCACTTTAATGTCAGTTCAGGAAGCAAACCTACAACACTTGCCATCATAGCCAGTCTTTGTCAACGTAGACAGTAAATGATTAGTCCTTGTAGTTTTATGACTCAAAGCAATGAAATAAGACAAAAAACTATAGATTTCTCTGATGTTTAGAGCCCTGCCTCCTCTTTTTCCTACCCTTTCCTTAATTCATTTTAATAAAAACTTACAATAATTTTATAAATTGCATTTAACCACTAGTGACAGATCTCAAAATTTCACCCATGAACAAATCAGTTTCACAGAATAATCTCTGTATTTCCTCTGTGTATTCACCATTAAGTTTTCTAAGTGGTATGTCTGGAATATCTGCCCTATAATTTGCAAAAATTGTTGTATTTTTAAAACAAACATAGTAAATTACATCTACAGTATTTTTATCATAAACATCAAGAGAGATCTAACATTTGAAGACTCAACATTAAAAGCTCTAAAACACAGCACTGAGAATTCTAAGTATGAAAGCATAATCTTTTCCAAAGAGAGATTTCAGGAAAAAAACACTTTTAATCAAGTGTGTTTGATAGGTGGATAGACCATTTCACTGTTTTCACTGTGCTCTTTCCAAATTCCATAGTTTCTTAACATCTCCTTAAAATTTAGTTTGCCCAATATTTAGTTTACAATTTTTATGGCTAAGCACAACACAATTTTTATTATTATTTTCTTCTATATGGCAGAGAAACAGAACAAATTTAGTGATGTTGAACACTTGTTACTTAGTCTACATAAAATTTAGGAAACATATTAATAGTCTGTTTGTAAAATGAATTTTCATAAAAATGCATTTTCCTTTAAACAGTACATTTTGCAAAATAAAAAAATCAAGAGCAGAAAGTGAGAAATTTAACATGACAAAAAAATTGAGATGGGGGCTATGCCTTGAAATGCCCTGTTGCTTTCTTCACTATAGCATGCAGTCCAATTAACAAAGTATGTGTGTGAAATTCTGGTTATAAAATCTGCATCTTGATCAGTAATACACACAAAATTTGATAAGGTATGGTATTCAGTTCTAGTAAATAACACTGCAAAGTTGGAGAGCTTCACAGCTGGATGGATAAATGACAAAGGTGGATAAACTAAGTGTGCATCTTTAAAAAATTTTCAACAAGCTAGTTAGAACTCAACATGTCCATTAGCTATGGACTTGCAACTTTATCTGAGAACAGCTGAGCAATGTAACTAGAAGGGTTTTCTACTGCATCAACTCAGCAAGAACTGGCTTTATGGTCAAAAAATTCATAACAATTTAAGGTCAAATAATCAAATCACAAGTGAACATGAAATCAAGTTTAAGTAAGTGGCATTTATAACTGCTTTTGCAAATAGAAAATATTTCCACTGCTCCTAAAGAGAATCATACAGATTTAGTTAACCAGACATTAGAGTTCTAGTGTTCCTTTGCATCGCTACTCCTTTTGGCTTCAGAGGGCACAAAAAGCAGATACAGAAGGTGTTTGTAGAGTCTGATGGGAGAGAAAGTACTGAGTTAATAAAAAATAAACCACATATAGAAGAAAAAGATGGTGTGGTTAGGTCAACTGACAAACCGATTATCTTAGTTGTCATTGACCAAGTTAGGTTCACAGTTTATTCAAAGATATGTTTATCAGATTTGCTCATGAATTTGTTACAGATCTGTATTGGAGCTGCTTTAACCTTCACTGTTTAGAAGAAAGATACAGAGCAAGAAGTATGTGAAATGTGCATATACCTTTTCAGAAGACACTTCTGCAGTTTTTCATTGCCTTCTGTTTTAGATCACAGTGTACTGAGGAGATGGTTAAACTCAGATGATATAACTTCTTATGACCTTCCTAGTCCTCATTTACAGAATCAAATTTACTTTAAGGATTTTATTAGTCTGAAATTTTGTTATTAAAATAGTTACTTTTTTTCTCTTATTACTTCCTTTGGTAAACAATTGGAGAGTACAATGTGATCAAAGCTCTGCAACTGGAACTGATTTAAGAAAATGAAGCAAAATGCTGTGATTGCTTAGAAATGTGTACAATTTTGGCTCCAGTACACAATGTCCTTTGTCATTGAATGATTAATGAACATGTAGTGGTTTTTTACTTCAGGAAATTAAGGCAGTAAATAAAAGCACTGTCACTTATATTTATCAAAGAAGATTCTACAAGGACAAAACAAAATATTTAACATGACAACAGAGAAACAAAGAATCATTTTATAAATTCTTTGATGTTTTAGCAATACCAAATAGGTAGTTTTAAATGATATGTTACATGCATAGGTGTCGCACTATTTGGAACGGCAAGAAGCACAACACAGACTCTCTTGTGAGCTGAACAGGAGAGCAAGGTTTATTACCTCAGATCTTCTTTTATAGACTGATACATGAAAGTGCAGAAAGGTAAAACTCTTATTGGTTAGTGAACTAACACATCACCATCATTGGTCAGTGGGGTACACCACCCCTCAACCTTCTCTTGCAAAAAAACAAGAAACTGACAAACAGCACCTGCAAGGCTGTCTTCTACCACTAAGGATTGTTTTAATTCTTCCTTATGATTTCCCAGGTCACTTTCTCAGGCGAGACTGAGAAAGTTATGTGGCCTGCTCTTCTACAGTCACTGTGCTCCCTGCTTTTGCTCATATTTAGCATCCATACATAAGAATTATTTGACATGTAAAGAGAATAAAGTAAATTCTGGTATAAAAGCCAAAATCCCAAAAGCTTTTGGGAAGATACGAAAAGGAAGGGATACAGGGGAGAGTTCTGCCCAAATATTTTCAGGAGCCAGACACAGGAAAACATCCCTGGATAAGGGTAAGAAAAATTAGTATTATTGACAATATGTGTCTAATAAAGTACAAATACTCTAAAAAATGGAAACTTTTACAAGAATATTGAAGTTAGCATTTTTTGGTTTTTGATGAATTTCAGATAATCTATCACAGGATACCCTACCTACTTCTGGCTATTACTAGTTCTGTGTCAAATTTCCTTACAGATAAATATCAGCAGTGTCTAATTTCCAGATTTGCTAGTCTGCATTCCATTTGTCAATAAATTTTCATTTGTATTTGTTCTAATGTAAACTACACTGATTATTGTGAACAGGCATAAACCCCATAAATAAAAAATTGCAGAAAGATCACAAATTTAAGACAGAGATGCTCAGCCATACAGACTTAAAAATACCAGCAACTAACCATTTTGCTTTATTTTTTGCCTTAATATCTGTAAGAGTACATGTTCTTCTCTAGTTAGTCTTCACTACCCTAATTCTTCCAAAATATAAATCACATTTTATTTATCAGAGACACAATAAAAAAATAGTTGTAAAGTTCTGAGAAAGGATTGCTGAAATATTAGGTTTCTAAGCAACTGAGTTTTAAGTACATCTTCACTAATTTTTCTTTAAAAATGCTGTATTACAGCTGGTCATATGTCCTTAACCGTCCAACCTTAATCTCCCTTCATTGGGAGTTAAGCAGCTGTAAAAACTTCAGAAAAAAATTACACACGGCCAAGTAATGACGAAAATACAATAAAAACTCTTCCCAAGTGTTGAATTTTCTCCAAGTGATAGTGTTCACAGGTACAAATTGCAGCTTTGTATTACTGAAGTAATATGATCCTTTGAGAAAATAAATTCCTTCCAGTTCTTTCAGAACTTAAGGTGGTATCTCTAATACCAATATATGAAGGTTAATTGTGGAAAGAGACATTTTTAGTTCAGTTCTCAAAGCTAATAATTTGAATTCTTCCTTGTGTCTCTCTTTCTGTGTTAATGTGAGATGATAATGATGATGATGATGATGAAGAGATGGCTAGCCCAATGTTAACCTGCACTATTTTTATGTCCACGTTAGCCGATGTTCAGATGGACAGTGTGTCTGTCTGCTGACTGACTAAACAGCTAAAAATACTAGTTGCTAGAAGCACAAAAAACAACCACCAGCTAATCTAAATAACTAAAACCTTGATTTTATGGAAAAGTGACTCTTATAGGTGTCTTTCATCACAGTACTTGATACAGAAATTAAACACTCATTTGATTTTTGAAACATGTTAATAGTTTTTTTCTTTTTCTTTCTCTTTTAATGTAGTCACTTCTATAAAAAAGTGCTGCTTAAACTTCCTTACACAACTATTTAGCCTAAATTACTTCAGTCTCTACTGGAAGTATTCTACATTTCATCAAATCTTCCATAACTTTTCCAAGGAATAACTAAGTCAGAGTATAACTCTAGTCATAATCTAAACAGAGTTCACTCCATCTTCATAATTTTACATGTTTTTCTTTTCTTCCTTCAATTTTTATTAGCAAAATAAGTTTTCTTTACCTATAGACATTAAGAAATGTGCAACAGGAAAGTATGTACACTTATGGATATGCAATTTCTTGTTCTGTAGAGTATGTGGCAGAGGGGAGGTAACTTATAACTGAATAAACTTGTAACATATTTGTAATAAATGGATAGTGTATAATTTTTAAAAATAATTTATTGTATACTGAACTATCTAAAATTGTTTTCTAGTTTTCTTCACACTGCCATGATCACTAATAGCAAGCTACCCAGTTACATCCACAGGATTTTGTTTTATCTCAAGATACAACAATATATTAAATATATATATTTCACTTGCAAATTAGTCAAAAAGCACTATACTTTTTGAACTAGTGAGCAGAAAATCCTCAACAGTCAGAGCAGACTCTCTCAACAAAATTTGTCTTGCTCATTTTTTCTGGTTTTTTTCCTGTTCTATTTGTATCTTTATAATTACAGCCATGATTCATGCATTTGAGATTTCTGTTAAGAGCTCTTATCATGTTGTCTGACTGGGTGTATTGTCTCAGTAAAAGCACCAGATTTAGCTTTCTATCAGAGCTATAATAAGAAAAACACAGCTTGCAGCTTTTCTAGACTGGCAGTGAATGATATCACATCCTTTCAACTATTATGCTGTCATGTCATATATCTCCCCAAAGGTTTTGGTTTATCAAATGAAACATCTGTGATGGCTGTGCTAGAAATAAAATAATTAGAAATTAGAAATAAATAAATTAGTAATAAATATAAAGATATGTAAAGATATGTAAACAAATATCTTTATGTTTACATATGTATAAGGTATGTAAATAAAAAGATACGTAAAGATATGTAAGTGGTAATATGTACCACTACTCTTCCTGCAACAGCTCTACCAGTTCTATTAAGCAGTTTTTAAAAGAAGCCCAGATGTTATATATGCACAGATTCACAGCAAAGAGCCTTTGCTCCCCAGCACTTCAATACATAACTGGCTCATAAAATATGTCTACCATCTTGAATAGGAAAAGTCCCATTGAGAGTTGCCTAAAGCATTCATGTTTTCTTACAGCCTAGATTAGGCCCTGTTTTTCAGGTAAGCTAATCTTACATCTTGAGAATCACACTCCTGGGTGCTTTGATTTTCTTCTTTTTTCAAGACCACATGAAAATTCTCTTTCTCTGCTGAGACATTTTGCCAGACCTGAAAAATAAAAATAATAATTAAAAAACATTAATATAATTGAGATATAATATCAAATAAGTCACGTGAAAATTCAGGATAACAATGAAAAACCAAGAGGTCATATACTGCAAACTGTTAACTACTTTGTATACTGCATTTTCAGCAAATTTTATACAGGGAATGTCTCAATATACATTCTTGTTGGAGCACTCCCTTGTAAATTATTACTTCCATATACATAATCAAGATATTCTATCTAAATGCCAAAGAAGGTGAACAAAAGCATTTTCAGAACTCATACCCCTGTGACTTTTGTGGATTCTGGGACAGGCTGAGGCTGTGAGTTGACATGTTTATGAACTGCTTGAGCTTACTTCACCTGTCCACATCCTCTCTCTCTGCTGGGACCTCCCAAGCTGCAGGCTGGATGTTCCTTTTCATGCCTTTCTCTTCTTACACATAAAAAGGACTTCTGTACGGGGAAGGCACTCTGCTATCATGTTATAATCAGTGAATTTCCTTTGACTGAATTGTTGCTTGTTTTAAGCATAATTTTCTATATTTCCTGAAACTTTTAAGATTCAAAATGACAAAAAAGGAAGAACATGCACTGAAACTATCCTGAAAGCATCAAATTGTCTTGCAAGACTTTGAAACTCTTCAGGGGGGTGATGGCAGGAAACATAGCAAAATAATTTTCCTGTAAAGGAAAGTTAAAACTTCAGACATCAGTTTTGAAACCTTTCTCATGTCAGTTATATTGCATTGAATTACTAAGTAATACAAAGTTTTCAGATATTATGGAGAACAGGAGAAACCAAACCAAGCAAGTCACTATGTACATTTTCACTTGAACTGTGAAATAGTTCAACTCATAGTTGAAATAAAATAGTTCAAATAGTCTCTGGTTAACAGCTCTCCAATGAGGATTTGTTAGTTTTATAGAGCAACTGACTACTGGAGGAAGTAATGTAGAGATGAACAAATTAAAAAGATCAATATAAATAATTGTTTTGTTAAAAAATAAATGCCATTTAATACCTGTATTGAGAGACCTGTCTGCTTGGACTGAAAGAAATTACAATTCTTCAAACCTAAATTTTGTGCCATTGAATAAAAGAAGCATATGTTCAATAAATGATAAAACTCATGTTCACTTGATTTCTTGACTATCTGACACAGTGAAATCTCATGAGATGCCAGCAAAACCAGACAGCTTTAAGCTTTACTAACTGTGAAGAATAAATGTCTGTGCATAGTGCTTCTTATTTATTAAGAATTTGATTCTTGCTTAAGATTTCACCTTAGCCAATGATACACAATTTCTCAGCATGTTATTTCTACAGAAAAAGCAGAAGTATGAGATTTTAGGTGAGTTGTCATCAAGAGAGTACCTTCCAAGTGTAACATTTTCAGATGTTTACATTTCCTATTTCTAGGAAAGTATAAACCAGGACAATTTCCAATTGTCTCCTGTTTTATCTTCAAGAGTGAAGTCCATTATTACATATTAGAACTCTTCTTCTTTTCTCTCTCCCCAAACAAAAGACAAGATTTAATGAGGTTTTTCAATTTCTATATGATTGCCTTAGCCAGTAGGATCAGACTCTAACAAAATTTTAAAATCACTTACCAGAGCCACACTGCTCAGACACCAGCTAAACCTTAGAGCAGTGAATAGGGCTGCTTCATTTCCCCTGTTTTCTAATTGATGGACATTGCATCCCTTCATCTATTACACAACCATCATCGCCAATTACTTTTCATTCTGTTACCCTAAGGTGACACTGATCTCCACGTCTTAAGTTCAAGTTTAAAACACCACCACACTTCTCACAAATGCCAAAGGAGGAACACAGAACAGAGGGTAAAACCATGGCTGGGTCTCCATCGTGGTTTGACACTGGCCAAATGCCAGGCACCCACAAAAGTCATTCACTTACCCTCTCCTGCTATAGCTGGGCAGAGGAAAGGCAAAAAAATTAACGAAAGGCCATGACTTGAGATAAGGACTGGGAGAAAAACACTCTAAGGGCAAAACATATTCACATTTAAAGGTATAAAGGAAATTTATTATTAAGAGAGTCAGAGGAGGATAATGAAAGGTAAAATAAGTCTTTAAAACACCTTGTTTCCCCCCAGCCCCCCACTCCTTCCCAAAGGCAGTGCAGAGACACAAGGCATGGGGATTCTGGTCACTTCATCATTTGAGATCTTCTGTTTGCCCAGGGTGAGGAGTAATTTCTCTAAAGCTGTCCCTTTCCACAGGCAAACAGTCTTCCCAAAACTGTTGTGGCATGGGTCACACATCCATGGGGTGACATCTTCTAAGGATAGACTGCTCCAGTTTGGAAGCAAGGGCCCTCTATCTCTGGAAGCAGGGGTGCTCTTCCTTTATTCAGGTTTCCTGCTGGATCACAGCTTTCTCTAGCATCTACTCACTCCGGCGTGATCACTTTTCCCATGGGCTGCAAGTGGATCTCTCCATTCCCTGTTGCCTTCATACATTTCAGGAGGCCAGTTTGTTTCACCATAGTTCTCACTATGGCTTGCAGAGGAATTTTGGCTCTGATGCTTGCAGCACCACCTCCCCTTCTTTTCCACTGACTTTGGAGCAGCAGCCATGTTGTTTTCCTTCACACATTGTTGTTTTCCTCTTCTCTGACTAGAAGAAAAACTGATGCTTGTAGGTACCATTGCCAAGAAGTTCCACTAATGCAAAGGTTCCTGCAGGATCCCACAGCACTGATAGGTTGATTTCATCTAGGTTTCACATTGGGGAATTACTCATTGTGTTTTCACCGTCTGCCATATAGCCCTGCCACTGCTGCACAGTCAGTGGTGGCAGCCATGGTGCTGGCACTATTAATGCCTCTCCTCATGGAAGGAGCCAGGAAGTCCCATCCAAGCTGGTCTTGAACACTTCCAGGGATGAGGTATTCACAACTTATTTGGGCAATGTGTAGCTACATTCCTTCTGAGAGCTTTTGTAATGAACTGGAACTACTGAAAAACTCTAAAAAAGGCAGCAAAGGCTGCATAAAGCAGTGATAATCAGAAACAGCGAGTGGCATGTTGCTGTGGCTAGAGTTTGCTTTAGAGAAGCTAAGCTGCTCATTTTCCTCCTTCAGGTGTTTCTGCTACTGTTTCTACAGCTGGAGTTGTGTTGGAGTCTAGGATACAGAGTGTTTCTGATACTTAGTTTTGGGATCCAGAAAACACTGAATTTCATGTAACATGAAATTCATGAGCATGTTTTCCTGGTGATACATGAGAACAAATGTTAAAGTCAGATGGAAAAAGCTAAAAGTGTAAGTGTGTAGATTAGAAAGTTTTCTTAAATCACTGGGTGAAAAAGTAGTTTAGAGAACAGAAGACAAGATGGAGGATTTAGGGTGTTGTCTCTTGTCCCTTCTTTCTTCTTCATGTTCTTCTCCTAGAGGTTTTTGGGTGGTAGTAAGTGATTGGATAAGGAATGCCGCAGTGCAGTACACAGGTGTTGGGTCATTGGGTCACTAAGAAAAATAATTTACTTGGCATTTGTTAATTGGGTAAATGGACATATAAAAGACCTTGAAGAGGATCTTTGTTAGCCATTTTACACCTTTCTATCATAGTGCACATAGCTCCTTGTACCTTGTAATGCTGATAAGAAAAGAATAAGCAACCAAGACTGAACAAGAGAAAACTGCCTCCCTCACATCAATATTCAGTTCAAAGGGAAAAAGAACCTAACTACAAAGTCCATAATGAGACAGAGTTGGACTGCTCAGGATGATAAGGTGAGCTAAATTGCAGACAGCTGGGATTATTGTTTGTACTTTGTATCAGGAACATAAATTTATGAAGGGAAAAACCAAAACTGTAAAGCTCTTGGTTCCCTTATAGTAATTATTTGAAGTATACTAAAACTGAAAAAAATGCATTCCTACTAGAATGCTATCACATCTTTCCAAATTTAAGCAGTCCTGCTGCCTAAATAAACAGTACATTAGTACTTGTACATAAAGTTAGCCAAGATGAATGCCATTGTCTGTAACTTCTAGCAATTCTGTTCTGGAAGGCAAGTGTATTTTCTTTGACAAATTACAAATCCTCAAGATCTATATTTGTATTCCCATAAATATAAATTGTTTTTAAAGCCATTCTACAAAATACATGTAATGACATAGTAGTCCTAGGACCCTTTTCATTATTTGATTAGTGAAGTATAAGCAGGTAGTTGTCATTATAAAATCTGAATTGAACGAGGAAAATGAAATAAAATGTAGGACTATAATTAGAAGACCTTAAATTTTAGTATCTCTACCTCTCAAACCTTTCCATTGTTTTTGATTCTGTCCTTAGTGATTCCTCTGATAAATATGAAAAATGAAAGGTAATCTAAACTCAAATTTCATTAAGATAGTGACAATATTCATTATAAAGAGCTGGCAGGGTTTACAAGGGAAAAGAGGCAGCTGTTGGACATGCTGTTTACTAACATGTTCATTTCAACACTTTTTCTTTAATCACATTCTTACTAGCAAATTTGGCCAAAGTTTTTTTGAACTGACAGTTCATGTGTCCTTTTACTTCATCGTTTTGGGCTGTTGCTTGGATTACATAGCAGTGTGTAATTTGCCAGTGCTGCACTGAATTCTGTTGTGATCCATTGGCTTGACAGGGAAAGACATTTCCATGCAGGCTGTTAAAAATAACTGCATCATTCCATGTGTTTGGAAAGAGCTTGACTCACATATTGAAATAATAAATAGTAATGGGGTGGACAGCAAAGTCAGCTGTAGAGAATATTTTAGCAGAACAAGGGCATGATATTTTAGTAAAAGCCTGTCTGCACAACCCAGCTTTCCATCCAGGCACTAATTCTAAGGGCAGTGTCCTTGAAACTCTCCTGGAACAGTGAGAATAAAGACAAACAATGGCATTGTGTACATGGAAAAGAATGTAAAACAATATGTATTAACCAATAGTAGCTTGTTAAGCCCCATGAACCCTGTCGAACGCTATAAAAGTGT